ATTCCAAATTCTTCTGCAGCTTCCCAATTATTGGTAAGCCAACTTCAAATTCTCAAAGTTTGAGTTGGGTCACCAATAATCTGGAATGTTGTTGTATCCCACTTTTTTTGTTATTCGCGTTCGATTCTTTCATGGTGTCATTCGGGAAGCCGTATTTTCGCTGATTAAAGGGGAACTTCGTTCCTAAAAAATGTCGCAGCCACTTCGTGCTGAGCCCTGGTTGGAAATGATGGTAGCAATTCATTGTAGTTACTATCATATAGTCTGTCTTAGTTTGATCTTTGCCATACTATATGCATCAAAATTTGACAGTAAAAAAGGATGTAATGTTTTGGTTTCATTCATTGTATAAAGAACTTCAGATCAGTCCATGAACTCCGCTTCTATTTGTTTTCTCCAATCTTAGCGGTCATTGCCATTTAGGTAGTAACGTACCGTTGAAAAAGCGCCAGTCGTACAACTGGAAGACCCACAAATTCATAAATTTTGTTTGAAGCTACAGCAAGCGAAAGCCTGAATATTTATGCTTAAAACAGAAGCAGTAGAATTCAACAATGAAATATGATACATTTTAGTAAAATACAGCACAATGAACTTAGAGGCAGTTTCTCGAAGACAGTTTTGGAGTCGCTGTATTGTATGATAGTAGACCTCTCAACAAGCTATTACACATTTGCAGTAAATAAACAACAACTGGAGCTAGAATTTGCTTTTTACCCCCTTTTTAACGAGCAGCCCGTTTCCGTTGTTTTCAGTGGCGCTGTTGAAGGAGGCCGATAATGATGAAGATCATCTTGATTTCGAGTATTGAGACCTTGCACGAGCTAGTTTAAAAACTTATATACAGCACAAAGGGGCTTTCGAATCATTTCTCAAGAGCAGCTTAGTCAAAGGGTCTTCTATCACATCTGATATCAATCTCAATTTGCAGGTTGCAGGTTTCGGGTGGTTTTACCAAGTGACAGTTGGCTTGCTCGTTATGCGTTGACGAAAGATATGTACATGTATTGTTCTTCCATAACACGGAATCATACGAAGCACTTCACGACGTATTTCCTTGGAGAACATTATGTAGTAAATCTGAAAGAGAAGAGGCTTGTGACTATTCTTGAAATTTGGTTCGTGATAGGCAGTAAGCTCTTCCTCGGCTGAATCAATGTCGATTGATGTCCAGCCATAAATAGAGGCTGGAAGTTTCGGGACTCCTGTACTGTCGGAGACAACAAGGTCCAGTTGCAATGCTTCTATGTTTTCAAATTAATTCCGCCGAAACTCAGGCTGCGAAGAATTCTTGAAAAGTTTTCTAAAAAGCAAGCACTTATCAAATCGTTGCGTTATGTTTTGATCAAACGGCAGCCCAAGATTGTTGAAAAAAAACACTTTTACTATGTGACAGTGTCGCGATAAAACTCGTCACAATAAAAAGACTTCACAAATAGTTACCGGTGTGAGGCCAACGGAGATGGGTCTGCTGATGAAATTCAAGTTTGCATTGAATTGCGCATCACCGAGATGAAGATAACGGTGTCCAATCCAGAATGTTCCATAAAGATGGATAAGTTCGCTGAGGAATGTCAGCAAGGACTGAATGAGGAAACGCTTTTCACTTTTGACCATGTTTGCAGCGTCTGAGCCAGATTTCTGAACACATGAACATTTTCCTCTTTCATAGTGATTTGCGAATGGGTAAAAGTTGGAAAAGAATCATATACTTACTGTTTTCAGAAGAATGATAGTTACCATATATAAAAGAAATGTTGCAAATAGCTCAGTAATTAATAATGGGATACGAATAATATTGAACGGGGGTAAAAGCCGATCTACGTACTTGCCATTTTCGTCTAGCCATATTTTTGTGACTAGTCCTAGCTGGTGAAATACACACATTGAGACTGACCATATGACGGAGATAAGTATGCCAACACCGGCAACTCTGTTGGCTTGCTGAATTTCAATTATAGTTGATTGGAATCGTAAGCTGATTCCGTTGCTAACGAAAATTTGGAGTTTTCATGCTTGAGGCATCTTTGCTGCAGGGGACTCACGCAAAAAAGCGTAGGAATTCTGCTTTTTACCTTGGGTCCAAACAACAGTGTCACCAGTCGTACCGCTGCCAAAGTTAGATTTACGGCCACGGTAAGTTCTAAGCCAAAAGTGCCAACAGTTTGGATAGCTAGATGTTGAACGGGAGTATGAAGGATGCATTGTTGAAGATCTGGCTCTGAAATTGAAGCTTTTTGAATGAATAGTAATAGATTTTTTTTTGAATTATATAGGTGCATTCTATGTAGATGGAGAAGAAGTCACACTCTTCATGACCAAGTGGTGTAATGGTTAGATGGTACAACTTCGTAGCCAAAATCATTCCAATTTGGATCTAGAAGGCTTTCGGAAACAACACGATAATGGAAATTTGTCACCTTTAGGCTGGTTTCATACTGAGTCGGATGTTCTGGAACTGTTCCCGCACAG